AAATGGAATTTTTTCCACTAGCGTCTGTTCCTCTGGCTTTTGTGAAAACTTTGGTTTCAGGTTAAACGATTCTATCTCCAGAGTAGAAAGAGATGCCCACTTAGGACAAACCAAGTAAGAAAAAAATGGAGTGAAGCTCAGAGTTAAACAAAACACACCAGAACATCAGATGAAGGAAGCACTGCTGTCTAGCTACAGTACTGAGACACACCCAGGAAGCTCATTTCTTAGCTACAGTACTGAGACACTCCCAGGAAGCTCATTTCTTGAAATACTGATGCTTCTGTACCTGGGACAGGGGGTGGTGGCGGGGAGGGATGCCACATGAAATGACAAGTGATGATCATGTGATATGCTGATTTTAATGATCTGGTAAAAAATGACTGTTTCCTGGCGTGTTCCTTCCTTGGTGTCAGCTCTCATGGTCTTCAGGGCAAAATTAAGCCCAGAAGTTGGCCACCCTAAGAAGCATGAGGGACGCTCGGGGCATGAGGCAAGGCCAGGACCCTCCCCCTGGGCAGCCCAGCCTCCCAGCCCCCGCCGCCTGGGCCAGGGCCTCTCCTCTGCTCACCTGGACACACAGGGGCTACATGGGTCATTCATAGGGACAAGGACACAAGTTACAAACTAAAGCGCTGTTCAGGAATTGACAGGCCCCACAGAGTCTCACGTTTCCATGACCTATTAATTATTCACTGAGGACTGGCCGGCTGTGGGGCTAGATGCTATCCCTTGGGCTATTTTGGTAACTGGGTAAATGGAGCGTCGTCCTCTGACCCCTGGGTCGGAGGACAGTGGTGACCCCCAGGTCTCTCCCCAGCCCCGTGGAGTGGCCGGACTGGGGATCTTTCCGGCAAGGCCGTCTTCTCCCAGGACTGGGCTGGGGCATCAGTGCAGAGGGCAAGCCAGACGAACGCCCCAGCTTGGACGTCAGCCGAGAGGCCAGAAGCGGGGAGCACTGTGTGCATGCATGTGTCTGAACTGCTGACAGAGGAAAGGCAGGACTGTAAAGTTCAGAGAAGCCCACAGTCCCTTCCTCGCTGTTCCATCACTACAGAGGCCGCCCAGACCCGGGGCCTTGTTGCCCTGGCTGCATCGTCACACCGAACCTGCCGGTGGAGCCCGAGGCCTCGCTGAGGACAGCCAGTGCCCACCCAGCTCCAGGCCCCGGGGGAGAGGAGCCGGCACCCAAAGGGGCCTCCACAGCAGCTGGACACAGCCACCAGGGCTGCAGGGACCTCTGGAGAGCCGGGGCGGCAGACAGTCTGAAACACTCCCCCCAATCTCCGAGCAATGCTGGCCAAGCCCCACATGCATCCGTGCCCCCAAATGAAAATGGGGGGCAAGGCCCCCCCCAAACACGAAGTCCTTTCCTAATCTTACAGTCTGATTCTGCCTAGAAAGAAGGTTCTGCATTTTGCCATGTCTCCTAGATTCAGGGGAGGGTCACGGGGGCAGCACTCCCCACATCTGGGCACAGAGGGACCTGCGACTTGCATACAGTCGCAGCCTCTGACTTTGCAACAAGCTGGGGGACGCAGACTCAGACTCGATGAGTTAGGTGTCCTAGGCGGGCAAGAAAGCCCCTGTCCAGCCTATACGTGTGCTGGCCTCCTCCCCGCTCTGCGTGACAGTGGCTCTGACTGACGGCCTGGATGCTCCGGAAAAAACCCTGGCTTCCTTCTGACCAGCTGACCGAGAAGGGCCCGGGGGAGCGGCCGGTTCCCCGATGTGTGGATCGGCCTGGCCGAGGCTGCGACGCCATGGTGGGAGGAGCCGCTGTGTCGGAGGATGTGCTAAAATAACTCAGCACAGAATAAAACTTTGTGGTTACCCAGCTTTCACAGCAACTGGAGAGAGTTTTCTATTTTCATTTGTTTTATAATTATCTGCAAATTCTATTTTTACCCAATTTGTGGTCCACTAACTGAAAAAGAAAACAAACCCTAAAAGCCCCTCTTCCTACCTGCTGCCTCAGCCCTGCACGTAGCTCCTCCTTGCCTCGAGATCAGAGGACTCGCTCTCTCAGGAGAGACAGCGAGCCAGGCTGACTTTTCTGTGGGGCCTGCATTCCTCTTCCAGCTGCACGGTGCAGGAGCGGCCTCACCGTTTAGACCCAGAACCAACCGCCCCCGTTCTGCCTGCACTGAACTCGAGTCATTTTGGGGTATTCATGCTTGGGTGGGGCTTCCCTGGTGGCTCAGATGGTAAAGAATCCACCTTAAATACAGGAGACCCGGGTTGGATCCCTGGGTTGGGGAGATCCCCTGAAGAAGGAAATGGCTACCCACTGCAGTATTCTTGCCTGGGGAATTCCATGGAGAGAGGAGGCTGGTGGGCTACAGTCCATGGGGTCACAAAGAGTTGGGCATGACTGAGCAACTAACATTTTCATGCTTAAGATGCTTCAAACGCTGTTTCAAGTTTCAGAATTCCTCCAGAACATCTCAGTTCTCTCTCTTGTCTACACTGAGAGGGTAATAGCATCTTGTGCCCCAAAGGGAATGGGAGCCTAGCGCCCTGGCCGGCGGCGGGGGGCACGTCCCCAGGACTGTGGCCACCACACTGAGGATGCAGACACCCTCGCTCGGGGCCACAGCCAAGCGCCTGGCATCTCAGCAGCGCCCAGTCCACACGAGGCTCCCTGCCCTACAGGACAGCACCCCTGACTGACAGAATGTATGAGGGAGGGGGCATTCGGCTGTTATTTCTCTGCTGCTTTATTTTCATTTTCTTGGTACTTAACAGCTATTTCCTTGCCTCTGTAATGTAATGTCTTTTCCATTCAGCAATGCACTTTCTTCCAGTGGAAGCAGTAGCGGGAGGGGCTGTAAACACTATGTTTATGCCACTGGGCTAAGTGCAGGCATTGCCGACCTGCCTCCGCCAGGGAGGACCTGAAAGGCGGTGGCCTGGGCACTGATGGGGCCCCTGCTGTACTTCTGAGTCAAGCCGCCAACCAAGTGGGTATTGATTGGCAATGAGTGCGTGGCTGCGAACATCACCTCAACATCATCCCGCAGACTCCAGGCCCTGATTGCTGCGTTGGTGGACGGCCACTTGTCCCTGCACCCTACTGCCCATAGCTTTATTTTTTATTTATCTAAATGGAGTAAAATACAAACAAGGAGTGCCTGCTGCCTTACCTTCTGGCCTGCACCATTCCCTAAATGACAGGGCTGGGAGCCCGGGTCACCGTGGGGCCTAGATGGGGGTGGGGACCTCGAGGCCTGCCGCTCTCAGGGACAAGACGCAAACATGTGTCCGGCAGGACTATCACAGGTTACAGCACAGGGCCCAGCAGGCAGTGTCACAGGTGTGACCGAACGCTGCCGTCCACAGAGACAGCCCACCTGGGAGCTCAAGTTTATCTCTAGGGCTGGAGGATGGTAGCAAGGCAGGTGAGGTCTGAGCACCAGCTCTGAGGATGCTAACTGCAGCTAAGCAAGCTGGCCTCCCAGGGTGTGTGCAGGGGAGTGGCGCCCGGAGCCTACACCGCTCCCGCTTCCCCCACACTGCCCTGGCCCTGACACCCCATGGTGGGTGCCCGCTCCTCCATTCCCAGCTGACAAGTGGCAGGTCCTAGCCAGCATCCCAACGTCGGACCCAGGGCCTGGCCCTGGGCCCAGTGGGGTGGGCAGGCCAGAGAACTCGCATCTTGAAGGGACGTGGCGAGGACGACCCTGCAGGTCGGGGACCACACTTTGGGAGCCACTGCCTCCAAGGGTCCCAGGCTTCAGAGAGGAAAGCACAGTCTTTAGAATCAGCCTCTGAAAACTCCAAGCCAGAGCAGAACCTGTGCAGACAGACCTCACTTGGACTGAATCTGAACGTGGCCCAAGGTGACCTCGGTCGAGGCTTCAGGGACAGGGACCGTGGCCACATCTGGGGAGAAGCCCTGGGAGACAGGATTGTGGGCAGAGAAGGGACGCCTGGGGGCTGGGGGGCCATTCTGAGCAGGGGGCGGGCAGAGGGGGCTCTGTTCCGCAGGGGTCGGGGTGGGCAGAGGGCCCTCGGACTGGGTTTTGACTCTCCCCAGGGCGGAAGCCCTCTGCCTGTCCTCATGCAGGGTGTGAGGCGCCCAGCACATGATCTGGCTGTGCAGCGCCTGTGGCAGGAATCAGGGACGAAGGGCAACAGAGCCGGATGAGAGACCGAGGGGGATTCTGAGCAGAAGCTTCTCTGCGGCTCGACCAACCCCAGACGTTCATTCTCACAGATTGTTACAGAAAGGTCCTGGAAAATGGAGCACTCTTATTTCAAAGCTCTTTTTATTTTCTTTAAGATTTTCCTACTCCAGGACACCTTGAAGTGGCGCAGCATCAGGGTCAAGTCTGTTAAGAGCCTAATTTAGGTGGCAGCCCCAGCCCATGCTGCCCACTGGCCACGGGGCACCTCCTTGGGCATGCTGTCTCTCCTTGGCTTCTCTCACCCGTCCTTTCTGAGTAAGGCATGCTCGGGGACCCACGGGGGAATGGGGCAGCGTCCCTCTGGACAAAGCAGCTGCCTGGCTGTGCCCTGGTCACTGTAGCCCCCACCAGGAGTCACAAGCAAAAGCTATGGCCACTCGCCCTTCTTGGTGAAAAAACATTTGGCAGCAACACCATCCAGCGGGTCCTCCTAGCTCCCCCAGGTCCAGGCGGGTAACCCCAACAGCACCATCCAGGGAGCCCTCCTAGCACCCCCAGGCCCACAGTGGCCACCCCATGGTCTCCGGGGTATCACCCGCCCCCCGCCCCCACAGCACCTCGCTGAAAAGAAGGCTCCTCCCCAGCATTACACCCATATAGGGGCTGCAGGCAGCGCACCCTCGATCTACCCCTGTCTGTACCGAGCAGACTGGGACTCGAGTGGATATAAAATATTCAGCTAAACTGGCTGGGAGGTGAAGATTTTTTTAAGAACATGGAAAGCACTGTTGGCTGTCACCGCAGAGCGGCCTCTGGGCTGAACCGGCGCCTCCCTGAGCAGGGCCGGCGTTGGTCGGAGCAGAGCGGTACCTGCACGCTGGGGTGACCCCCGGCTGATGCCTTCACGGCCCCGCGGCTGCCCTCCGTCTCGTAGTGGGCGCGGTGGTGGGACTTGGGCTGCACCTCGATCCTCAGCTCGTAGGGTCCTGAGTGTGACGGCAGCTGCCAGTCGAGAGCCGGCAGGGATGGGCTGAAATGGACACATGGAGCGTTAGAGGCATGGGCGGCTTCCCACGCCCACGGACCCGGCCTAAGACGGACGGGTGGCGTGTCCATCTGGGTGGGTCTGAAACTCCCGTTGGTGAGGTCACTGTCCTCACACGAGCAGCAGTTAAAGCTTCAGAGTGGATGGCCAGCTGACTGTGACGGACGCCCAGACCCTCTCAGCTCTTCACGATGAGGCTCCTGAATGCAATGGAAACCTCTTCCACACTCGACCCTAAATATTTTCCTTCTTTCATGGAAGGCCTAAAAATTATTTAACCTCCCTAATAAGATGCATCTTTTTAAAATCACAGCTCTATCAGCCTGATCTGAGAAATGGGCAGGCTGGCTCCCATTTCCTCTGCCCATAAGCCAGCTGTGAGCAGATCTGACACGTGGTGGGTGTCTGATACGGCGATGGGTTTGCAACCTCGCTCAGCCCTGTGCCCGTGACCCACAGCAACCAAGACCTGCAGGGCCAAGGGAGCAGCAGGCAGCTTTGCCAGAGGAGTGGGGAGAGTGCCGGGCCACAGAACCTCCAGGCCCCCGGGGCAGTGGTCCTGGGCCCACGTGAGGGGACCACATCTCCGTTTAGAACGTCCGGTGTACTGATCTGTTCCCTTATACATACTGTCCATCTAAGTGAAAAGACTGTCCTTTGCTGTAAATAGAAGAGAAAGAGATAAAAATAAGTAGAAGTTAGGTTCATCTGACTCCCAGGAAATTAAAACAGAAAGAGACTGAGAGACAGAGACAGAAGTGAAGGAGGATCGGAAGATCTGCTCCTCACCGTCCACAGAGGGCAAGGTCTCAGAGCCACTCGGCGCTTGAGTACAGCCGAAAACAGAGTTGGGGAGTAACTTGCTCCTGAGTCACTGACAGAACCAGCAACATGGCTGCACACAGTTTAAAGTTAGAATGGCTCACAAAATAAATACTGTCACACACAGACAATTAAAATTATTGTTTGAGGTTGGAAATTTTCAGCATGAATCTGGCAGCTCCACAAAAATGTAAATGTACCTCTGATTCAGAGAAAAGGCCTCAACCTGGAAGAAACGTTCCAAGACGTGCCTGCCACGCCATCCTGACCCCTCGTGGCTCTGCCGCTAGAGTACCTTCCTCGGGTAACTCTGACCTGGAGCGGAGCCCCCATGGGACCCTGAACACCTGGAGGTTCTCTCGTGCGGCAGCCCCGGCTGCTGAGCACAACGGATGACGTCAACCTCACCTCCAGCTTAATCTGATTTCTTAAAAGGTCACACTCAATGCAACGAAGAAAATGGTTAAATTCACATCTGACACCCAGCTGACCCAGCTGACCCATGCAAACAGGAGCTGTCTTACGTTCTCCACACACACAGATGTACGTGTGTTACAATCAACCAGAGACACCACCTCCACGACTAGCTGCGCATCTCTAAGCATTTCTACATAAAAGGGATGTTGTTTTGTTCAGTTGTCAAGTTGTGTCTGACTCTGAGACCCCATGGACTGCAGCACGCCAGGCCTCCCTGTCCCTCACCATCTCCCACATTTTGCCCAAGTTCAAGTCCACTGAATCAGTGATGTCATCCAACTACCTCACCCTCTTAAAAAAAAGCCAGGGTATCACATCTATTTTATTCTGTTGATATATCCCTTTTATATCTTTTTGCCTTTTTATACAGATATAAAAGGGCTTCCCAGGTGGCTCAGATGGTGAAGAATCCGCCTGTGATGCAGGAGACCTGGGTTCCACCCCTGGGTCAGGAAGATCCCCTGGAAGAGGGTATGGCAACCCACTCTGGTATTCCTGCCTGGAGAATCCCATGGACAGAGGAGCCTGGCAGGCTACAGTCCATGGGGTCACAAGAGTCAGACAGGACTGAGCGACTAAACCCCACCACTACTGACACCAGAGAGGTGAACGTCCAGTGTGAGACCCTGGCGGCCTTGCTGCCATGTCCCTGGCACAGACCCACAGCCTCTGTCACAGCACGAACCCTCGGGGCTCCTGACGCCTCCTGGGGGTCTGGCTCCCTGCACGGGGCCTGCTGGCTGTAATCTGGGCCAAGCCTCATAGACAAGGGCACTCGAGGCAGCGTCTTCTTGCAATACTAATGGGCACCACAGAGGTGGTGACATACACATAAACACCTGAACTCCCAGTGGTAACACCCACCAAAGTGTCTGGGCTTCCAGGTGTCCCCTGATGTCTGATATGCATCTGACTACAGGCAACGAGGGACTCCAGGCCCAGGATTGGGACTTGCCGAGCCCTGCGGGGGGGGGGGGGACAATGGCTCAGGTACCTGAGCAGACCAGGAGGCATGGAGCCAGACTCCGACAGCCTCAGGGTAACCACGGGTCAGGGGGTCTGAACACTCACTGGGTGACACCGAGGGGTTATTTGAATCACACATTAGTGACTAGTGTGATGTATACTGGTGCCACAATTCGCATCTAAACCTGAGCCCCCGTCTCTGGAAGACGCACACTGAACATTACTGGAAAGGTCACACAAGGTCTGGTAATGGGCGTGGGTGGGGGCAGGCAGGTGGACCCCAAGTTCCTCTGTCCGTTAAGGGTGGGTGTGGGCACCACAACTAGTCTCCGACATTGCACAAGGTTGTTTTCCTGTGACACAAACTGAAAGAGCAAATCTAAGAAACACACACTCGAGTTTCCACGGGGATCTTCCAGGCTGGAACCGGCAGGTACTCACGTTCCTTTCGGTTCACTAACATTAAAAAACATGCCATAGGAAACACTATCAGCTGTAAACCCCCCAAGCCACCCGCTTTCCCACCTTCCTGCTCTTACCCTGTGAGCTTGGTGACTATTCCCTCGTCTGGCTTCACCTGAGCTGGGCCCCCTGAGCCTTCTCCCACGAGAGGCCACGTCCACCCACGACAGAACGGTTCACACTGAATGGCTGTGCACGTGCCCCATGCCAGGGGCCATGGACGAGCCTCAGGGAGCCCTGTGCTGTGAAGTTCTCCTTCCATGTAGACCCCTGGGGCTGGAGGGGGCTGCTCTTCCAAGTCCTTTCAATGTTGAATTTTTGAGAGCTAAAGCCCATATTAACTTAGAAGAAAACTGCAAAGGTTTTAGAACTCAGCTGTTTCTAAAAGAGGTGAAGATACAAACTCTGAACTTGGCAGGGTTCAAATCTACCCAAAGGGGACCAGACCTAGAGGGGAAGGCCGCCACCCCAAGCTTGAAAGAAATGCGCTTTCCCAGGGTCGCAGCCAAGGGAAGGGCCGCTTGACTTACTTGCTTTGATTTTACTTTTTCCCTTTAATTTTAAAAAAGGTCACGGGCTCAGTTCCCAGCTATTTAATGAAGCAGAGTCTCTGGGCTCCCAGACCGCTCTGGGCCGAGGTCGGGCCAGGACCACACACCTCGCCGGAGGCCCACCCTGCCCCTCACCCCCAGCAGGCAAGAAAGCGGCTCCCACTGAGGTCAGCTTCCTGGAGGGCAGCCGGGCAAGGCTGACCTCTCCGTGGTGACCCTCAGTGGTTCTTGGGGCCCAGGGAACCGCCCTCAGGGAGGGGCTGGGGGTCAACCACGGGAAGGCCCAAGTCCCAGGGCTGGCCAGGCTCTTCTGATGGGCCTGGAAAGAATGCAACGGGGGCTGTTCAGATAGGAGCTCTCACCCGGGTCTCAGGACGCTGTGGGCTGCCACCCCCGACTGTCGGGACGGCCTCCTCTGCACTGAGGGGACTTAGGGACAGGACCGGCCGAGGGGGCTGGTGGCCTAGAGGCGGATAAAAAGGGGCTTTTACCGGGGTATCGGTGGGTGGATGGGGGCCGAGGGCCAGAGCTGGGCAGTAACATACAAGGGGCCCAGCTGGGGGGGGGAAGAGACCCACTCATCCCCTGCCTGTCCTCAGGGTGCCACGCACAGAGCACCCCCACCCTGAGATTTTGCGGCCAGCGACCTGTCCTGAGACTCAGGGTCCCCGGGGAGGCTCTGGCCAGGTCACATGGGCCCAAACCCCTCCTGAGCGCCACCTCAGTCCCCAGAATCCCAGGAGCGTCCCTGTGCCCCGGGACGGGGGCTCAGATGAGGTCAAGCCCCTGGGGGGTGCTGGCGGGGGGAGGCCACCTGCTCACCCTCCCACACCCCCAGGGGCTCCGTCCATGGGCCCAGACCTGCTCAGAAACTTGAGTTCAGTCACAGAGCTGGAACTTTCAGAGCAAGAATAGCGAGGCCACCATCTTGGATTCAGGAATTTCACAAAACTCTGTTGCTTTCAGGGGTTCCACCAACCAAGGTGTAGAGAATTCCAAGTTGCAGGGACTTTCTTCCAGCTTTCTGGAAATCCCCGTTATCTTTACTCTGCACTGCCCCCCCAGCCCCCCAAACCCAGGTCTATCTCACGTGGGCCTCTCAGGCCCTGCCCCGCAGGCTCGATCCCAACAGTTCTGGCCACCCCGCGAACGGCTGCTTAAACCTCTGTACAGCCTGAGCAGGGCCATCCACCTCGACGGGCCGCGGAAACGGTGTGGCTGGAATGACCAGGGCACCATGGCTGAGTGAGCCGGGGCAAGGCACAGCGCTAACCAGCACTTCCGTGTGCCCGTGGCGGGGTAGGGTGCCTGCTGGGCACTCAGCCCACTGACCAGACCTGGACACAAAGCCTCTGGGCAGTTACTTTCTTCACCAAAAACCAGCTCAAGGCTGGGCGTGAAGCCCCAGCTTCCAGGAGGTTATTTTAGAAGCATTTATTCAAAACCCCATCACGACACATACATTTTTTGCTCATGAACCCAAGAAACAGTAGTCAACGAAGGCCCATTAATATCCACAGAAGGCCTAGTCTTAAACGTGACTAAGTTTCACCCTCTGTGGGACAGGTCCCGTATCTCCCTGGCCGCCTAACCCAGGTGCACTGCAAGTGCCTGGGGCCCCGACGAGCGCCCCGCACTCTCCTCGGAGGAAAACATCTGGACAGAAAGAGTTCTGTTTTGTCTGTGGTCACTGGTGCATGCTGTCAC